GCGCAAAGCGCGCGCGCGCAAGGACAAACAACGAACTCCCGGCCGGGACGGAGCCTCCCCCGCTGGTGAGTTGAAAGCATTTGGCAACCCTACCAGCCACACAAACACACAGATGCTGGGGCAGAATCATTCGGCCGTGGAAGGCTAGTCTGAGTGAGGCAAATAAAAGGGAGCACGGGCTTCAGCAAAGAAAACGCAAGTCGGTGGTCAGACAGGCAAAAAGGGAGTATTGAGGACCATATTGCAAGAAACATCAAGACCAACAACAAAAATTTCCTCAAAATACATTAGAAGCAGGAAACCAGCCAGGGAGGCAGTGGGGCCATTGGATGACCGAGGGGTAGAAGGAGTACCGAAGGATGATAGGGAATTGGCAGAAGGGCTGGATGCATTTTTTGCCTCTGTTTTCCCTGTGGAAGATGGGAGGTGTTTCCTCGTTCCAGCACTGAGGTGTCGAAAGACCTGAGTCAGACTGAGGTCACGAGAGAGGAGGTCCTACGACTTAAAACTTAAAAACTAATAAATCACCAGGCCCGGATGGCATATATCCGAGAGTTCTGAAAGAACTCAAATGTGAACTTGTGGATCTCCTGACATAAATATGTAATATTTCCTTAAAATCTGCCTCCATTCCTGAGGACTGGAAGGTAGCAAAGGTCACTCCCATCTTTAAAAAGGGTTTCACGGGAGACCCGGGAAATTACAGGCCAGTCAGTCTGACATCGATACCAGGTAAATTGGTGGAAACTGTTATTAAATAGAGATTACAGATTACAGTCCGCACTCTTAACTACTACACCAAACACGTGGACAAGGTTGACCCAATAGATGTTGTTTAGCTAGACTTCCAGAAATCTTCTGATAAAGTTCCTCCTCAAGGGCTCCTAAGTAAACTCAGTAGTCATGAGATAAGCGGACAAGTCCTCTTGTGGATTAGAAACAGGTTAAATAACAGGAAACAGAGAGTGAATATAATGAGGCAGTTTTCACATTGGAAGGTAGTAACCATTGGGGTATCGCAGGGCTCAGCACTTGTTAATTAATGATTTGGAGTGATAATATATATATATTTGATTTGGAGTGATAATATATATATATATAAATTAAGGAGTTGGAGTTGTAAGCTGCTCTGAGACTCCTTTGGGGAGTGAAGGGTGGGATATAAATACAATCTCTTCCTCCCCCCCTTTCTTCTTCTAGTTGAGGAGAGACAGTTTGGTGTAGTGGTTAAGTACGGGGACTCTGATCTGAGAGCACCGGGTTTGATTCCCCACTCCTCCACTTGCACCTGGCTGGATCACCTTGGGCAAGCCATAGTTCTGACAAGAGCTGTCCTTGAAAAAGAGCCGTTTCTCCTTGAAAAAGAGCCGTTTCTCTCAAGAGCCTTCTCAACCCCACCGACCTCCCAGGGTGTCTGTTGTGGGGAGGGGAAGGGAAAGGAGTTTGCAAGCCACTCTGAGACTCTTTCAGGTAGTGAAGGGTGGGTAGAAATCCAATCTCCTCCTCCTCCTCCTTCTCCTCTTCTTCTTCTTCGTCTTCGTCTTCCTCCTCTTTTTCTTCTTTCCCATTTTTCTCCCACAAAGCAAGACTTACAAAAACAAAACAAAAAATTAAATGCCAGAAACTTCCTTTGTGGGGCTCCAAGGGTCGCTTATGGTACAGCCCACAGCCCTAAAAGTGAGGCAAGTCTCCTATGGCTCCATCTGTCCCACCAATAAAAGAGGCTCCTCTGGTCAGCACGCATGACGGGGCCTTTTCCATGGCAGCCCCCCAATCATGGAACAGCCTCACTGGTCCCCTCCCTGTTGATCTTCAGGAGGCAGTTGAAGACAGTTTTATTGAGGACTGCATTTCGACTGATTTAGCATTTTATTATTGGCAGCCCCATTTTGGAATTTTTTAACTGTGACCTTTATGGGTTTTATAATAGTTGTTTTCGTTGCGTGTTTTTTAAAAATATTTTATTAAAGTCACAAACTGCCTCGAGTTCCACCAGCGAGAAGAGCAACTAATATATGTTTGAAATAAATAACTAAAAAGAGAACTGGTTACTCTCCTTGGGCCCAAGGCCACAGGTGGCTGATTACTTGATATGCGTGCACTGAAATTTAAGGGGAATCCAGGACATTGGCTCGAAACACTTGAAGGCCACATGAGCTGATCTTCAAGAGCTCCTGTACATAACCTCAAGAGAGCTCCAACAGTTGCCAAGGAAGCTGAAGAGGAACACGGGTTTCCCCCTGGCCTGTTTGAGCCAGTTCGGTGCAGTGGTTAAGTGCGCGGACTCTAATCTGGGAGAACCGGGTTTGATTCCCCACTCCTCCACTTGCAGCTAATGGATGACCTTGGGCAAGCCCTAGTTCTGTCAGAGCTGCCGATGAAAGGACAGTTTCTGTCAGAGCTCTCTCAGCCCCACCTTCCTCACAGGGTGTCTGTTGTGGGGAGGGGAAGGGAAAGGTGTCTATAAGCCGTTTTGAGACTCCGAGTGAAGGGCAGGGTAGAAATCCAATCTCTTCTTCTTAAGAACTTAAGAACATAATGTTGGATCAGGCCAAAGGCCCATCCAGTCCAACACTCTGTGTCACACAGTGGCCAAAAATACCAGGTGCCATCGGGAGGTCCAGCAGTGGGGCCAGGACTTTAGAAGCCCTCCCACTGTTGACCCCCCAGGCA